AAACATTACAAATTTACTGCATTATTCAAACGATCATTAAGAGTTAATTTAATCCTTAATAAAATTAAATTTTAAATTTAAATACTACTGAAACATAAATATTATGTATCTATGGTACCATTATTAATTAAATCAATCACTGTTTTAAGAAAGTGAGAGGCTACATTCATGTTGCTGGTATTCATGCTGTGGCATTAGGAAGTCAAGTCATACACTTAAGAATGTGAATTTTAAGTGACCACGTTTTGTTTGTTTGTTTGTTTATGTCTATTCAAATACATTATGTTTTGAAGGCCAACGTCCTATTCAAAGAATTCTCCCTCATTGATTTCTCACATACGAGGTTTATATGGCCTTTATACTTTGTATTTCAATCCCTATCTTCATAAAGATATTTAGTTTTCATGAGTGAAGAACCATGTTTGGGATTGATAGATGACTTGGTTTTTAAAACATTGTTAATACTCAAAGCTGTTATGATTTTTGAAAAAGCAAACAAGCAAAATGTGTCTGAACAACACTTTAATAAGCCAGATGTGCACTGCCAGCCACTGGCTAACTTATCTAAAAAGCCCAAGGCAACACTGAGATAACCTGCAGACAGTTGTTATTTTGTATAAAATATTTATTTCCTATGATATATTAAAAAAACTTCCCTCATTTCTGGCCTACCCTTCCAAAATGCCTCGTCAGTCAAAAATTGGTCTCTCTTCATTCACTCGTGTTCCATGCCTGTGTCAGCTCAGGTTCCCAAATCCCACACATTAACCCCACTGTTCCTCTGGAATTCTCTCTGGAATGTTGCACAATAGTAAATTACACTCATTTCAAAATGAGCTGTGTCACTGTTTCCCATCAGCATGGATATGAATCACTAAATGAAACCAAAAACAAAACAAAAAGCAAACAAAACCCCACAAATGTTCACACAAATACGAATCATTTGTTGAAGTCCAAGGGACAAAGTTAAGTAAATATCTTCCATGTGGCCAGCAAACTTGCTCACATTTTCAACAAAATTGTCTCATCTCAGTCACTGTGTCAGTGGAATAATAAAATCTGACTTCTGACTGCCTTCATGGGAGTATACCCCCTCCCCCATTCTGAGGGCTCTGTCTCAGTTCCCTTTCTTCAATTCATCAGCATCAGACTTAACTGGAGACACAATTATGTTCTAGGCCAGTGGTCCATATTTCTGAACTCTTACTTACAAAACCAACAAAATTATCATTGTCTTTCTTACAGATAAAGTAATGAAACATGCATGCTATGGATTAAAAAGTTACCATAGATAAGTGTAATTACATTATTTCTGTACCTGTTTGATTTTAATTCTCCTGAAAAGTATTATCACATGCTTATCTTCAGTAAGAAACAAACATTAAACATGTCAGTGTCGGTTTTAATACTCTGAAAAGTGGAAAGATATCTAAGCTTTGAATTTTGATTTGTATTCTATTTGTTACTATAAATCCTGCCAAGTTCTTTCTGGCTCAAGAATAAGAGATGGCATGTACATCAGGAAGGACCACAAGATCAAACCAAGGTTAACTTCTTGATACGCAATTTTCCAACCCTTTCTAAAGTCAGCTTTTGGGTTTAGAAGGACTCATGTTCTGTGAACTTCCCTGAGCAGAGGAAGACCTGCTAGTCATTAGGATTCTGACCCTAAGAATCAGATGAGAGACATTAAAACCCAGGGTCTCCTGATGTCAGCGGCCCGTTTTGCTAATGACATTAAAATCAAAGGCACACAAGAAATTTTCTATCTCAGTTCTGAAAGGGGATGACAAAACTCTTCAGAGAAGCTGATGGGCCAGACAAGAGACCTAAAAGTCACTTCCATTTCAGATTCCTATGCACTTGTGAGGGTGTTACTGTTAACAAAGATAATATTCAGGATACCTTTTATCCTGACTTTTTAAGTTAGAGGATTGAGTCCAAGTGGATAAAATTTCCTTAAAAAAAAATTAACTCCTTAAAAAAAAAACAGATCCACCTCTTAAGCAAAGCCATAAGGTGAGTCAAGCTGATTGTCATTTTGACCTTCCTTTGCTTTAATTCGGGAGCCTATTTAGAAATGTAACGAGCAACCCTCTCCACTCCGTTCAGCTCAGCTAGCAGAGCTAATAGGCTTCTAATTAATTTCCAGAAGATTGCTGTTATAACTAACAGGTTTTAAACATTTGGTTGATTGGGGAAAATGAATTGAATATAATGTATTTGATTTGGAAAATTAGTTTTCATTCTATGTGCTTACCATAATAGTGTTTATTTTAAGTTTACATGATTCCATTAAGAGTCCCAGATCACCACTGGGTTCTTTTCATCTTTACAGTGTCCTATCCAAATTCAAAAAAAGAGAATAAAAAAATCAATTTACATTTTGATTTTTGTTGGCCTTTCTTTGAGGGCAGGTCAACTTCATTTTTGTGGCTTTAATAAAAATCTTTGCTTGCTAATATAGCAACAGGTCCAAATACTTCAAAATGATCCCAGTGATACCTCGTCAAAACCCCACTCATTGAATGCAAATCCTCTGGAGAAAGGCTTATGCACACAAAGATGAACCAGTTACTGCACTGTTTATTAAGTTTTCACCTGATTCCTCCTGATAACCAGTTAAACAATGAATGTTGGGAAATGTCTCTCAAAGAATCAACAACAATGGCAGGGATCAGGGCTTTTACATTTAACTAATACTATCTTTTAAAGGAGAAAATATTTCTTCCTGAAGGGACTATGGGAGCCTTCTTAGAGACACCTGCAAACAAAACAGGTGACAATAGATCTTTATCATAATTGATAACTGAGTCATCCTTTATACAAAAACTCCTTTCTTGAAGACAATAATATTGAGATTTACTATTGCCATTGGATTCAAGAAAAAAGCTAATTGAAACTACTGGTATTTACGTTTCGCCAAGATTACGTTAGACCCTTGTCCCTCAGGTTAAAAAGAACAGTAAGACTCTGCCTCTAAATCACAGCTTACTTCACACTGGTAAACAGTGGAGGCCTCTGCCCATAGGCTACATTCATTGGCACATTTCTTTGTGACTAACAGGAATGGCTAGAATAATCTCAGGCCTATTACTGATATTTCTGACATAGCTAATTTTCCAAATTAAGTATTTGTGGCTCCTTTTATAAAAAGGGCTCCAGGGGGCTTCACTGGTGGCACAGTGGTTGAGAGTCCGCCTGCCGATGCAGGGGACGCGGGTTCGTGCCCCGGTCCGGGAAGATCCCACATGCCGCGGAGCGGCTGGGCCCGTGAGCCATGGCCGCTGAGCCTGCGCGTCCGGA